AATGTTTGGTAAAGTYCTTTTGTTGCAGTATTTTCCTGATAAAGTAGCTTTCCTTCAAGATAAGGTACTAAAAACTTCACAGTCTGGTCCTTGATAATGTTTCTCTTTTTCTTGGTTTTTTGCCCAGTACTTATTAAAAGTTCCACCAGTTTTGTAAGCAGTAACTAATGAGATCTAATTATATTATYTTTAGGTCCATGAGAACCTGGACAGGTTATTTTTCTTTCTGCTGTTTCTAAGGTTGTTCCCTATGTCTCCAAATTGGTTTCTAAATATGGCATCGCCAGTCTTGGATATCCCTATATTGCAGTTCTTTTTCTCTGTTTTGATTGGTAGGTGTATTTTCATGAGATAGAAACCATAACTATAACAGATACCTAGCCTGAGTATCAGGCTCTCTTGAGTGGATTGGGAGCCATGCTCTCTCAAAGGGGATTGGGGTGGAGCCAGGCTCTTCCAAAGGGGATTGGGGTGGATCATCTCCAACCAAATTCCTTTCGAGAGAGCCTGATACCCAGGCTAACAATTGGCTAACAGATACCATAATTGTAATGCACATTATGAATAGACCTTTCTCAAAAATGGCCACTCTTTTTTATCATTGTTTTTTGTATTTTGATTCAAACTTAAAACAAAATTGCCTCTAAAATATTTGCTTAAATACTAATATATATGCTTCTGTTTTTACAGAGCTTCTAATTTAAGCATATATACTTGTTCCATGGAATTTTGTTTTAAAAAAAGATGTGCTAATGAGGGGCGGTCATTTTGGAGAAATGTGTATTAATTAGTGAACATTGTTCTACTTATATCCAATGTAGCTATAGAATATTTTAATCATTTTACAATACTATGGGAAGAAGGTTGCTTGAACCATTTTTTTATCTTTTTCTTTTTTTGCTTAATATGTGTTGATCAAGCAAGTAAGGTTGTTCAGTTCTAAGCAATTAGAATTTTAAGTTCCACAGCAAAAACAAAATATTAAAAATAAAATAAAACTGATGTTAAAATGTAGAAAGTCGAAAAAAAAAAGCAAACAATACAAAAGAAAGGCAAATCATAAAGCAAGATGCAAGGCAGAAGAGATGAAGCAGGTGTTTTATGCTGCTATTTCAATTGATAACATCAGTTGGATAGATATGTAGATAATTAGAAAAATGGTTGTTTATCAGATAGGAAACTGCTGGTAATAAAATGACTTGCATATATATAGCAACAGACAATAGAATGGAGCATTTCTAGAATTAATTTCATAAAATCTTTTTAAAATGATGTTCAGTGTATTATAAGTGTATTCCTTATATCCATAAAATGTACATTTTGTATGTAATTATAAAGGTGAACWAATTGAACAGCCAAAACAAAGACTTTTGTACTAATTTGTACAATAAACAAACAATTCCATGGGAAAGTGAACTCTGTGAAAGCACATTGCGAAAATTGGACTTTATTTTTCCAATTTCTTGCTGTGCCTTGGGGAAAATTTCCTTTTTATAGCTGTTTTTTAATAAGTAATTTTGTATATAACATCGGCCATCTTTAGCAAAAATGATTTGAGTGCAAATAGGGAGACACACTATTTAGCTAAGTGTTTTCTTACATTTCAGAGTAAAAGCACCCCTCTTCCTGTTTCCTTTCAAGCTATATAAGCTCTATTTTTACAACTTATTAATAGCTGTGACAAAAAGGTCTCTAAATGTACAAATATTTATTGTTGAATCCAAATAGCCTGTCAAAAACGTTGTCCTACAGTGTTTGAGATAGCTACAATGTTATTTTGCTTATTTTTTCAGTATAATTTCTATAAAGGCACATAGTGTTTAGTGAATGCACAGCAAAGTCCCAGAACAATACTCTATTCTTTCACATCACAGTTTTAATTATAATGAAACATTACCTTCATATATGAATTTGACTATTTCATCATTCAATTCTCTAAGTAAAATATAGAGATTCAAGTGATAGACCTAGGCACACTCTATTCTTATTAACTGTCATTTTGTTTTGAAGGTCTGATGCCATACAACTTTCTCTGCTGTCAAACTGGTTGTTTGCTGTCTCAGTTAAATTCAATGGGAGACATTTTTACCACATCTACGATGTTAAAATTAGCAACTATAGCAATAATAGCTATGTTGCCTGCCTTTATTGTGAAACGACTTAATAAGAAGTACAGCAACAAAGAAATGAATAAGAATGAATGATAATTTTTATCTCAAAATGTTATATTTAATAATAATGATATTATATATTATTTATATATTATATTATTAGCAATTTTTTGCATAGGCCGAAGCTAATAAACGTGTAGGTTTTACGCTTTCGCGTCCACGCTACTTATGTAATTTTTCGGGATTGTCCGAAGAATAATAAATACAAAAAAATCCGTCCACAACGAAAATTTAAATTTTTAATTGAATTCAATCAAACCGTAAATTTAAGTGTGGTGAGAATTTAAGATTTTTTCAATGGAAAAAGTTACCATGATAATTTTCTTTATTAATATAATTTATTATTATTATATTTACGCCAGTATTGCGTTCGCGGGAAGCGACTTGCGTTTGCCCATTATATTCTTTTTCTTGATAATAATAATGACAAAACGTAGAAATCAAGAAATTGAAATTTCACAAGGAATTATTTATGATGAATTGATGTCAAACTATAATTCAATCCATAAATAAAATTTGAATTTTGTTATACTGCGTTCTATGGTCTTTTTGAGGGGCATTCAATCCCAATAGAAATCAGTTATCTTTGATGTCAAGTTTTATTCAGAAAACCATGGTGGATATTTTAGAGATCGGTTATTTCCGTCCTTTCTTACTTACATATGAACTWCAATATTTGCTTACACATTTTGGACTAGTATTTCAATTATTTTTCTTTGCTTGTTTTTAAATGATATTTACCTAWAAATCTAAACTTCGAGATTTCTCATAAACAAAATAAACAAATCCCTGATTTTCAGATTGAATTGACTAATGGTTGCAAAGTAGAATTCACTTTTTTTTCTGTGTTAGTTTCGTGTTTCGTGCCCCTAGTATCACTTTCCTATGACTTTTATACTTATCCCCGCATTTGAATATATAAAGMAAGCGCGCACCTTTCTTTTTTCTTGAATAAACCCATCAAAGACATCAAAGAAAAGACAAACAAGTTTGTTCAGATGGTTTATGTAAAGCCTGATACTTCATGATACTGACTAGCTTAGTTCTCTCTTCAATGTTCATGTTTTGTAGTTTAGGTCCTTTGYTAGCAGAATACTACATTGAACGAATATTTTCGCGCTTGTTTATCTGAAAAATCCCCGCAATAACACCAACTTCATAAAGTAGATCTCAATTCGCTCTTGGCTATATTTTGTTGTCGCTCACTGTGAGCGAAATAAMGCGAAGAAACCGAGGATCGAAAACTACGTTATGTAATCAGCGTACCCCGCAATTTTCTTTCATTGTTTTCTTTGTAAAAAAAAATGCGAATAATTTTTGACGTTTCTGTAGAGGAAACAAAACCTTTTAGTGAATAAAAAATTTCGAAAAAATCTCCCATCATGCTCTGTTTTCAAAATGGCGTCGCTGTATGTTGATTACATCCAAAGCGCGTGTAAGGAATCACACCGTGTCACGTCTTTATAGCTCTCAGYAATTAAGCCTGAGATTAYTTGTTGTCGTCCTTCCCTACTATAATGTGTATCCAACAAAAAACATTAATACATGAAACAGGATGATGAACTGCTACGCGATTAAGTTTTGAACAATTTCCCCTCCAAGCAATACTGGGTTATTTATACTACTAAATTTGTCATTTTCTAATGAAAAAGTGATTTGCATTATACCAGAGGATTAATATGTTATTTGTTTTACAATGGACAGGTGCGACAGTTGTAGTATTCAAAAAATGTCATAAAATTCTGTACTATGTTAGTGTTAGGATTCAGAAAAACAYAAATGACAGTGAAAGAACTGCCGTTGGCGGACAATTGTTGAATCGCACGGAATACACACAGYTTCCAAGAGAGAAAATTCTGTAAGTACTCAATTTTAAACTTTACTTTCGTTGTCTTACTYTCCTTTGCTCAAGGAAAATGTATATTTACATTGGTAGTTTTGAACATTTTTTGCCACTGTTTACTAATTTTACAACTAAAAAAGCAGTTACAAACGATACACTAACATTTGAATTTATGGTTATATTTAAAAAAAACTAACTATTTCTGTTCAAATTCTCTGTACTCCGCAATAATTAAGTCAAGTCAGTCTAGTATTTTGAAACTTGGTTAATATTATTTAGCTAAGATATAGTAAGTAAGATATCGATCCATTTTATGTACAAACAGGAATAAGAATCAATCACAGTTTTTGACTAAAGCATTTGAATCTCTCTCCTTGTGAATCAGTCGTTCAAACAATGAAGTATATCAAAAATTATATATGAAAATTTTGCTCTCGATCTTTGATATAGAGGATATTACATGGGCGCGCGGAGATACGAGTTTTATCATCGAGTGTTGAAAAGATATCAAAAGATCTAAAACCTCGAATGTTTGAAAATAACAACTTTACGAAACGGAGAAATATAGGTATTTCATAGATAATTATATGAAAAATACAAATAATACATACAATTCTTAGGTGATGATAACAAAAAAATAATAATTCTGACTATAATTCGGCCAGTAAAACGTAATGCACTTAGTATTGTCAATGAAAAAAGGTCTCGATTTATTGTCAAAAACTTAATTAATTGTCTTTTAGAGCTTTAACGACATAGATATCTCTTTTAATAAAACTTGATTTGCAATAGTCGTTTGATTGCCGCGTTTTAGGTCATTCAGCAACAGAGTTTRGCTTTGAACGGGCAATTTTTTATATACATAATTTGGCAATTTAAGTTTCGGCGGATAATCAGCTCGATTTTTTGTTTGTTTGTTTCTTTTGTTAATTTTTTTTTGTTATTTGTTGCTGAAGTAGTTGTTGTTTTGGTTTCAGTTGTCAACAAAATCGAGGGAATCAGAAATTATATCGATGTACTACCTTGGGAGGGGAGGTTGGGTTGTTTTTAAAATTACGCAAATTGAACTTCATATTCCTCAGTATTTATGAGTGATCAATGTTATCGAGGAAGTCTCTCCTCAATATCTAATCTAGTGAAATCAGAAACCACGCTTTTTTTTTTTTTGAATAGAGAGAACTGTCCCTTTTTGAGTATTCCAACTGAGTTTGCAATATTCTTAAGGCCTCCATGAACTGACTCAATTGTAAGCATTTCTATGTTATCAGCTGAGGCCGGATTCAAAGCGCCGCAGTGCAGGATTAAAGAATTGAATATACAAGAACTCCTGCATTCTTTTTCTTTTCATTCGCCCTTCCTAGTATTTATCTACGTTTCGTAGATCTTACAAGATCATCACACATTTCCCTAATATTATTCATTTAAATAGGTAAACATCATCTCTTTCTCCTATTATTTGGGTTACTCCGCGGTTTTTGGAATCCTTTTGTTTGTTACTTTATGTTTACTTACAGCAAACACTGCGTTCAAACTGTCAATAAACAACAAAGAAGACAATTTATCATATAATYATCTATAAAATACCTATATTTCTCCATTGCGTTAAGTTGTTATTTTCACTAGTGAAAAAAACACATTCGAGGTTGGTTTCTCTATATAGACATAATTTACTTTCATATGTCAATTATATGATAAACAGAATATTATATGGTCGCTTAGAGATACGAATTTTATCTTCTCGTGTTGAAAATCTCTCACTTCTTCACTTGTTCGCTACGCTCGCTCGTGATCAGATCTTTTCAACACTCGAAGATWAAATTCGTATCTCTGCGTGCTTATGTAATATCCTCTATATAAGCTTGAACCTTTTATACAACCCACACAAAAAAGTTAACTCTTCCGGATGATTTTATCTTATCATATAACGCCGCTATAGTCCAGAAAACTCTAAATCTTCAGTCTTATCAAATGACCAATGTATAGTCGAATTGTGCATGCAGCTGGGCTACGCGCGCGCGGTCCTTATGGCGGGAAAATTACGCAGACTGGAGGAAACTGAATTTGACAGCCGTTAAACTTGTTCTAGAAAACTCGGAATTACGAGACCGCCTAAGAGATTCGCGGTAGCTCTCACTCTAGGAAATTGGAGGATTTTATTGAAATAGAAAATAGAGAAATTCAGAAATAGGAAACTCTATACCATTAGCTCACAGCGGGAAATAAATTAAGAAACCATGTTGATACATGATGGCGGCCATTTTGTCTAGCTCTGCAATAAAATATGGGAAGATTAGAGAAGCAGCTGAATTTTTGAAAATAAATCTTAATGTACATTAAAATTCTAATTGCTCTTATAAATTCATCTAAACAGTTTATTGGGAAATATACAGCTTCATGATCTATATTTTAATGATAAGAGTGTCTCAATCCTGTCAATCGTTTAATTCTGGCTTTTTCATGGAAATAACAAATTTGAACCGAACTTGGTCTCAGCATGTTCAATCAATCGACCAGGCACTTTGTAATTAAATTCTCGACCGTATCTAAACTAAACCGCATCGAGCGAAATGAAGTCAATTGAAACTTTACAGCAAATACGACTATCTGGAATATAGGTCTGTAAGTGTGCAAACACTGGGAGAACTACCACGACTTTCAACTTAAAAGTCATATTTGAATGACGTTCTCTCCACGTTATCAAATATGTCATATCACTGTATCACRGCTGAGGAAGGCCTCTTWTAATTGGGGGAAGTTGGAGCGATTTTTAATTCTCTTTTACTTTTGCGTCTCCGCTTCGTCTCGCAACTTGTGAATAATAGCACTTTACCTGACGACGGCTAGTTTAGAAAACAGACAGCTTGTTGCTCTTATTATTCAAAAGCCGCAGCTTTACAGATAATTGCTAAATGAACAAGCACGTATGTTGGAGGTTTCCAAATTCAAACAACATGTACTAAACTTACGAAAAACATTGAGACTTTTAAGAATTTCTTAATTTTCAAGAGATTATAGTATCTACTTCCACATCCTGAATAAATAAAACGGCTGTATAACTGATTATATTGCTTATCTTTATTCAATATCGCTCTTGCCTGTCAAAATAGTTTTCCTGGACACCGGACGTAAAATCTTTTAATTCTGTAAATTATGAATTGCAATATTTACAACCTTTCCTGTTGAATACAAAGCCAGCAAAAGTCGTTCACAGGTTAATTCCAAATAGAAAATGAAATACTAGATCAAAATAAGAAAACTGAAAAGAGCAAATTCGTTTAGGCAGGTGTGAACAATTACAAGTTGCGAATAAAAATATATACATTGTTATTTTTAGTGTACTATAGCAACAAGCACTAGCTCATCAAGTTTTTGTTTGTACTCCAGATATTGATAATTAAAAGAAGCGGTTGGCTAGTAGGGAATACACAAGTCCAACTAAACTACTCAGAAAGAAGATCTGTTTATATACAAAGGTAAGTCAGTCATATCTCTTAATGGAGACTTGCTGTCATTTCGTCTCTGTGTTGAAAAACTCAAGAACCTTGATGGATAAGGACTGCATAGATTTACATACAAAGTAAAAACAAGACCACCTAGTTTTTACACAAACTTTGGTTTATGAAAGTGAAAAACAAAGAAACAGAAACAACRATCAAAAAAGCGAGAAAAACACTATGAAAGCCACTGTTCTATAATAATTCATATTGAAATCTCCCCCCACACAATCGATCTACTCAGAAAACAATATAGCGTTATATGGACTCCTATCGATGTATTACCCCATATTTGACCACGAATAATAACGACCATTTCGTAACATTGGCACTATTCTTCTTATACTATTCACTTAAAGAGGAAACGTTAACACTAAACTAAAGAGGCCAGTTAAGTTGGCAAAATGTTATTTCCATAGCAACATAGCGATTCACCTGTTTTGGCTGTTGTTATTTTAAGGCAAATATATTGAGGTAAAGCCAAACTATTTGGCACACTACAGAAGGATTGCAGGTATCCTCATATAAATCGATAGGTACTTAGTTTGTGACGAGTTGGATAAAAAAACGTAAGTAGCTGTATACTTTTCAGCTCTATTGAGATTGCTAATGCGTTTAGCTAATATATCAATATTTCTTCGCCGCAGAGTCCAAACCCTATATTAAATATTTGCATTTTATTCCTTGTTAGGACGATTACATTTGCCATAGGTAATCGGGCAATTTTATTTTACTTGGATCTATTGCAACTGACTACCTGCACTAGAAATGAGATAATACATTATAGACAAATGACGCATACTAGAATTCACATCTATTTTTTCAACACTTTTCATATTTTTGYGATTTTTCTTTAAAGTTTGTTTGCTGTCTTTTTCACCAATGCAAGAAGTGTACATCTTAATTTCAAACTGCGCGAACTCTTTCTACCCTGACTTTTAGAGTAGTCATTTCAACTATAAACAACTAGAATATTTCCATGTCGACCAATCTTTCGGTTTAATAAACTATTACTGTGAGCTGATTTCAATACATATAAATTGAATCCACACCTGCTTGCAGCTTTTATCTAGGCACTAAACGATTAGCTTATAGACATCTTACAGGCATTAATAGAACGATAGAAAGAGCTATAGACCTATCAACCAATAACTGAATGTGGTCTATGAATTTAAGGGTGAAAACAGCCTGCATTCAGCCAGATTTTATTAAAATAGCGATATTGATATATATCTCTAAACACTCAGGATAAACAAGCTTTGGTTATATTTTGTCAATGTTTTGCATTAATTCTATGAAGACTTAAATTATTTTGTTGATACGGTTACCTTGGAAACAAATAGGGGCGCAAGATAGCGCGATTCCCAAGGCGTAAAAATTGACAAAATGTAGTTACTGACCTGATTCATCTCTTTTTTCTCCAAGCGAACAAAAGAACAAGTGTAATAAAAGTCAGTGACCAAGAAAAATAGATAAAAAAAATTCACAATAGACCTAATCGGCTTCAACCCAATTCAAACCACCCGGGAGTAAGTTTCATTGTTCGTTGTATTTTCATTTCACAGTTGAATTCTTAGAAGAAAAAAATTCTTTTTCCCACAGGATTTGAATTGAAAAATCTAGTTTATTAGTTATAACAGACAATTTTTACTGATATTTTAGCAAAACGTTAACCTAGTAAAAAACTATTACAACAACAACAACAACAACAACAACAACAACAACAACAACAACAACAACAACAACACTAAGGGGCAGAGCTAGGCGGACTTCAGCGCTATCTGGTAGGTTAGTGATGGTTCCAATGAACGTCTTTTAGTAAAGATTTTTTCACTCAAACCAATTTCATATATCTACGATTATGGTGTGGCAATTCAGTGAAAACAAAAGGTCTCATCATTAGTTGGTCACTGCAAACTCCAATATACACCCTGCGAGCAGAGTGTATTTCCTTACCTCAATAAAAATTCGCGAAGGAAGTTATTTTCCTTCGCGAATTTTTATTGAGGTAAGGAAATACACTCTGCTCGCAGGGTAACTCCAATATTAAAACATTGATATTTTGCGAAATGGCACCACTTGCTTTAAACTAATTGTATTGTTGTTTATTTAATAGTTTGGTTTGCTGCAATGATTATTATTTGCTGCATTAAACAACAGCGCATATAAACATGAGCGAAAACGACAGATTTTGAGATTTGAAGCCTCAAAAACATTTAATGTATTCTTTTGTTCTGTAACTGGCCGTCAAATGCAAGAGATCTGTGCGTTAAGAAGTCAATGTAAATAGTTTAATCAATCACGCAATAGACGCAAACGCAATGTAAAAGAGATCGCTTAACTCAACTTTTAAGCCGGAAGATGAAAGGAAAGTGCTTTTTTATAAGATTTCTTTAGTGTTTAAAAAGCTTATGCTTGGTCTTATGCTTATTGCTATGCTTATGTCTTATGTCACACAATTGACTCCGCTTCTCTAGACTTATGCTTATGTCGTCTTGTGAACTAAAAATACAGGGCTAGTCCACCAAACYATTCGATTATAAAGTCAAACATTCAAAAACGCGTATTATGACTGCATATAGTGGACRCATGCTGGCCACTAGTCGTRCCTGCGATCTCTGTAGCCTGTAGCCRATTTCCCGCCATTGACAGGAAATGATAGGACTAGCTAACTAGCCCACTTTCACGTCTAGTATATAATGTTYGTATTAAAGTGTAACCAGATGACTGCCGACAGCACTTAAATCACGGTTAAATTACAACGAAAAGACGATTGTTTGTGTACGCAGACATGTTGTCGGAGGAAAAAAATCACGAACTTCCGATGTTTCCAATAGGAGTTTTACAAGCCAACCTCAAAAGCTACCAAAATATATCCTTCTAATGCACTTAATATCTTGTAAGAGGAAAGGAATAAGGAATAWTACAAATGAAATTAAGGATAAGATATAACTCAGCCTAAAAATCTGACAAAGCAAAACTGATATGATTATTTATATTAATTGTAGCAAAAGTTCTTTTTCTTGGTAAACGATTTTACAATTAGCTTTGATATATCTAATTGCAAAAACAACATTTGTAATTTAGTAAAAGTAAATACATTAAAATGACAAGAAAGCTCTCAGCCAGAGTATCCCTGCAGTCTCGCAGTTATATTGAGATTGGCAGACCTGAACAATAGGTTCTCTATGTCATCAGTTCCGTCCAAAGATGCCTTCAAAAACCTCCTCAGAGAGCGCCAAAAAAAAGTAATKTAATATTGCCATATCCTGATATCGTTTTTGATATCAAAACACATTTCGGCGTTTTTTTTTCTAATCTATGCACTTTGTGGGAATATTGTGGAAAAGTATGTTTATATCAATTCAAAGCTAAACCATTCCGGTCATTCCGGCTTCGGTCTTTGTTGTTAGCGAAGATGTGACAAAGTCACGTGGTGACAAAGTCACGTTAGTGCCTATGAACAAAATATATTGAGTTTTGCGTGCTTTTCAAACTATACGCACATGCTAATTTTKAAAATAAGAATTATAAAGAAATTTTTATGAATTTTTACTATATAAACACAACAACTAAAAACGTCCAAAACGTCACTCAGTTTTCTTCATTTTTTTTAATTTAATATCATGTTATCACTAGTATTTCTTTTCTCTTATCTGACTCAGACAAGAATTATTCTAAATTTTGGAAATATATCAAGAATTAAAACTCGTCTTATTGTTCATAGATACGTGACATTTTAGAACTTACGCAATAGCGCAAGTTAATCTCAATTTGATTAATTAATGGCGTCAAAGAGCTAAGTAAATGAAAAAAATTGATTCTACTCCTTAAAAAATGGCCTTAAATAATGCTCTAGGTTTAAAGGATTATCTTTGTCGAACAGGCTAGAAAATAATATTCCTCATAATTCCATTATTTACAATTTATTGATAAATTCACAAAACACGATACTTGCAGACATTGTAGAACTCGATCAGAGTGATATCACTATATACAAGAATGGTATTGAAAATGTTTCAGTTTCTTTCATTTGTTCATCTGTTTTATAATTCTCGATATTTGTTCGTTTCTTCATTATATACATTCATGAATGGACCGGAAAATGTTTGCGAGATCACTTTAATTACTTACATAATTTATTGTTCTCTCGAGAATGAAGAGCTAGAATTTTCATACTCATACCAATAGCAAGTGCCATGCTATTCACATTAGTCACTTTTTCGATTTTCTGTATCGATAATTATGCAATAATAGTTCAGCTGACTTAACTATGTGATTCATTTTGATCCTTAAAATCGTGATGGGTTAACTACCCACCAGGCAATAAGGAATTTAAAGTGATTCAGATAAGAATTTAACCTTTCGCTGCACGTGCTTCGCGGCGCGGCAGTAAARACAATTGGAATACTGGCAGTTGTGATAGTTCGGTTGATAGCAAAATGAAATGTCATTTTGCCTTCTTGCTGATACTTGTTTTATGATAGCACGCTTTTAAGACACTTTCCCATCCGGTACTTAACTCTCTCTGTACTTACCTAACCGTCAAAATGACGATCTAAACGAAATCCCAAAAAACCCGATCCAAATTTTGAACAGGAAGGTCGTGTGACAGGCTCTATTTTATCTAGAAACATGGCCTTCATGGCGACATTGCTGGAAATATCACGACCAAGTAGCCATTTTTCAATCTCATTTTGATTGAAATATTGTCCAAAGTACCTTAATTATCTCGTAAGATAGTATAGTAATCCGTAATAAATTCATTAACTAATGTTCATTAGTCAAAAAATGACAATATCATGCTTATATCTAAATGCGTTTTAGCTGCGTGAAAAAAAGCCAGAGTAATTTTTGGAAGCTTATAGCACAAAATTAATTTTAAAAAAGCTAAATTTCATAGACTTTTTCGGGTATTTTTTAAGTAATGCTAGTACTATAAAGTGCCGTTCATATTAATTCACGCTGGAGTGTGTCTAAATCTAAAAGTCAAACTATGAAAAATACCTCGAAGTACCGGTAAAGAGAATCAGAAATAAGATACCTCAACATATGTTTAACCACCTTTAGAAAACTATAAACTTTGACTTTGTGTYATCTTAAGTGACAGGCAGTCACGTGACTGCATGTGATATTAACTCCTTTATAACAATTAAGGAKATTTTTTGAGAATTCAGTCTATCTTTGTAGAAATCCTCAAGAGAATGGGCTGCGGATCTTCACAAAACGCCAAGATAAGAACGGAATTCAAGACAATTCCTTTGTCAACAGCACAGAAGTACTTGGTAAGGGAGACATGGGAAACAATTGAGCAACACAAAAATCCCGTTGGGAAAAAGACGTTTTTGAGGTATGGAAAATAGGTTATAATGGATTTATATCAAAAAGCCTACAGGGATAAAGATATACCATTCAAAGTCAGTCTAACCAAGTCGAGAGATAACAGTAATGAGTGTGTGAAGGAATAATGCGGATTGTCGCATGCCTCCAGGACTAAATATGATAAAAAACATTCGAGTTCGTATTTTTCTTTTATATTATTATCATTTATTTTTTTCTATACAGTAAGAAGTTGTTGTTCACTAATTAGGTCTTAAGTTTGCAGTAAAATACGCGTAAAGCCTTATTATTTGTTCGCTATTTGTAACTGATAAAGCTATCATAAACACGTCTTCATGACATAATAAACAAAGCAGTCAAATTACCAAGGATTAGAATAAGAAAACAATCGATTATAATGCAGTATTATGTTATATTTAAAAAAAATCAGCCGAGTTTTTAGTTTTGAACGGTGATTTACAATTTGAATTTGAGACGTTTTTAATCTRTTGATAAAGATACTGACAACTACTGCTATATCGAGCCAATATTCTCTCCCATTAATTAAAACACAAGTGTTAATGGTTCTTATATAAAAAAGTAAACAAAATATTGAAAATAAGGTTAATAAAAGAAGGGTGATGSTCRCCTCTTGACAAMAAGCAGGGTTTTTTAAGGAATTGTAGCGTTTTGGACTATTTTTTCTTCCTGTTTCATGAAAAAATCAATCTAAATTGATAATGATTGACGTTTGACTATATTAAATGAAAAATAATATACAAGTTGAAAAGTTATATAGAATTTACTTAACGTTTATTAAAACTTTGAAACAGCTCTTCAAACGGMAGCTGATTTGTGTGTATTTTATCGGTTAGTATTTCAACATTTAACAAACACCACTATAAAAAATGATTTCTTCTCTTCATTCGACATTTGCATTGTAAAACGATGTCCCGTCGAGCTTATAAGACTAAATCYTTTTCATTTGATGACGATATGAAATAACAGAAAGAGTTCAAATTAAGCTTGGGGTTTGGCAAATAGCTCTTTTTTGCGTTGCATATTGAACTGCTGTTTCTTCCAATCGCATGCTATGTTGACAACTTGGTCAGTCTTGCGCCTGGATGTATTTGCGTGATATGACAAGCTATTTGAATACGTAATGGCCTCATTTTAAGATCATAATTGCCTTATTCATTCCTTTATCGTGCTTATATGGTATTTTACCAAATTGAAGAACATTGACTTCACGCAATAATTTTTAGTTGATTTTTGGAAACATCACTATCTCAGTCTAGCCCTTGCAATGCCACAAAAACAAATTCAAAAGTGTTAACAAGAAAATATTTTTTAGCTGCTTCTTATGATGGCTTGATATTATCTATTTTATCAAATAGGTTTTTTGACATGAATCCRGATTTCCAAAAGCTATTTCCCGAGTTTGTTGGTCTCAATCGAGAGGAACTGGAAAAAGCCAACGCTTTGCATGGACATGCCAAGAGAGTTATGAAAGCGGTAGAAAATGCAGTCACAGCTATGGATGATGCCGAGAGTTTTACGGCTTACCTCGAAGGACTTGGACAGAGACACGTGAACAGGGCCCTAAAGCCTTCCTATCTCGATGTGAGTACARTGCACAGAATTGTATACATTATATTGTACACTGTCCATTCATTTCATTCCATATATCAATTTCCGCTTTGACTTATAACGCTACCATGTAGTACCCATCCACTAACTATGGCGCCATGTAGTCTAGCCTCAAATTGAGCTACTATAATAAAAAGCTGCAGGCACTCTATATGTTTATAAGATGTGAAAAAAGAAATTCAATTACRTAATAAACGCACGACMGTTTAMAATTGCTGGAAGGTGCGTCAAAGKGCTACTTGGATGAAAACTGGCCAAACTTTGGAAAAGATATTGATACAATTTCTTAGGAATTTTAGCAAAATATGTTGGAGGTAAATGACAAAATTTTCTCTGCTTTGGGATTAATCCACGGCAAAAACTTTTTTCTCGGATAAATGAGTCATTTATTTTAATTACGCGGTGTTTCGAAACAAGAAGATTTTTCGTGCAAGTAGCGATGTGAATTGCCGGTATTAGCCTCGAGCAGGAACGCTGATTCTGTGTAATGATATTTTCAGGCAATGCAAGTAGCACTTATGGATACTCTTAAAGACCTTCTACAGTCCCAATGGACCCAGGAAACATGCGATGCTTGGAACATCTTGTTTCGGTTCATTGCTGATACCATGAAAAGAGGACTACAGTCTGCATCGGCGTAAGATCGTGYCATCACTATCGACCACCTAATGTATATATATAGCGTGCAAGGAAGACGTTCATGGCGAATTTCCCTTTTTTTCTCTTCTCTTCTTATTCTTCCAACGGCCTTTCGCTAGAAAAGCCTGTTTTGAGGGCTCATGTACATAGTGCTTGTATATTATTGCATTTTTGTAAATAAATCCTCGTAATGAACTTGACTTGTTTCTGTGTTTAAGGTGGTCAAGGAAATTTGTTATCCGGTTACCATACCAAATCTCCCGCCTCGAGTTTTCCTTTGGTCCGCTAGTTTCYWAGTCTTTAATTCTCATGCAGTCGGCTATTATCTTTTTTTCAAACGCAAACTCTCGGAAATGCACCGGATTTTCAGCAGCTTTTCAGGTTCATTTGCTGCGCATTTAGAAATATCATTTCCTGAAATCTCGCTCATTGTGTCAAAAAAAATGACATTTCTAATCTCAATATCAGTTAAGTTGCTTCTAAAATGCAGCTAAATATATATTAGAGGCTGCTCTTTTCTGCTTTCTCTTTGAATCCTGCTCTTTCGCTGACAGTCGTCTTGTAAAGGAAGTTTTTTTCAAGTATATATATTAGCTCAATGTTGCTAGTAGTATATGACGCATAAGGACGTCAGCATGCCCTAAGCTGGGGGAGGGGAGGGCAGGGCAGGGCGTTTCTTCAAAAGTGATAAGGGACGAGAAGATATACATCTATATTTGAATAAGGAAAACAAAAATACATTTAAAAATAAATAGGATCTCCTAAAATATGATAGTTTGATAGCTTTTAAAGCATTAAGGGCCTAATTTATCGCTTAAGCCCAGGCCCCAGGCCATAACAGCTTGATGTCCCCCGCTYTATTTGACCAATTTCAAGTCCATTGTAAACTCATTGTAAACTTGATGCTTTACCTCAGGCTCCACAGGCCATAAAACTTTGATAAAATGTCTCCTGCTATCTTTGGCCAATTTTAGATCATTGTAAACTCGATTCGTTCTTAAACGTCCATAACATCTTACCACATTCATCATAAGGGATTTTACTACATAGTTCTCTCTCAGGCACCGTACTTGTCTCGCTTTGATATGAAGGCTCGGCTACCTTTTAAGATGGCGTTGTGAACTATAAAATGGAGTATTTAAATGAAAAATATGAGAAAAGGATTCTGGAAATTCATGAATGAAGACTATACATCCATACTGTGAGTATTCAATATGAACCGCTAATATACATGATTTTCAGAGAACGATTGAGGTTTTAAATTCGAGATCGAAATTTTTTCCTTCACCGGTTTTTCCGAGAACGACTGTTTTATTGCAAAATATACAAGTGAAAGAGAATGACCAACATCTCAATAGATGTGCATTTACTTTACTGCGCAATCATGCTTTTAATTCAAAAAGAAATTGAAAATTACACATTTTTTCGGACGTGCACATAACTTAGAACATAACAGCCTTGGACGATGTTGGAGACTAAATGACTATCGTTGACAAACATGACATTTTGAGACCGTCGTTTGGCGAACGACTTAAAGAATTCAAGACAGACAAACTTTGAAGGTGAAAAATTGAAGAGAAAATGATACTCCGAGAAATTCGAGACTTTCGCCTTAGCAGAAGTACATGTACATGGTTATGTACTTCTGGCCTTAGTTTTTTTCCGAGACTATTTTCGTATTATTTGAGTGAATGCACCATTCGCGCCACTCCTTCCATTCAAGGTGTTTATCTAATGGATATATTGAGTACAGCCGATGATTATTGGTCAATATCTTCATCAGTATTTCATTTGTGAATACTTATTGAGTACCTCAATAATGATCTCACTTTCCTTTGAAGAAAAGAAACGTAAAAATAGGTTGATGAAACCCATCTTTTCCAGTCTTCTTTTTTTTTCTAAACTTTTCGAAGTAATTTATGCAAACGTTAGCCGGAAAAATACCATAAGTATTTCATAAGTTAGTCACTTCAGMTATAGCAGAGAATCACAATAATCAAAAAGGCTAAAAGGCTAAATGAAAACGCGCAAAGACGACCACCACCCGAGGCAAAATCTATCGCTTAACGCTTAACGTTATTCACTTTTTAGCTCGATGAAATTTAAAAAACCATATCACTTTAATCGGCGTAAAACGTGAAGAAAACATTTGYAATACCTCAAGCATTTTAAAAGTAAACCAAGCTGTTAAAATTTCATGTGTTAAAATTTGAAACGGGGATAATATTTAATCTATAGGGTAAAAAAGAAGTGCGCYCGAGGCTAATAATAGGTACAATACTTCCGCTGCACGCAATTCTATCGAATCAATTCTAACTAAAGTGTAACTCCTCTTGTCTTACGTGAAATAACAATCTATGATGCATGCAGTAGCGGACACTATAGACCATAGAAACAGTATAGCTGCGGTCTAGAGGAGGTAAGTTAGCTTTTAAAGTCGAGTTGTTCAAAACTTATCGTAAGTCCGAGACTAAGTTACATTGTCTAACTAAATACCTAGATAATCGCCTTGCAATTACATCTTAGAAATGTATCTCATTCTATCGAATCGACATAATTGGTTTGCAGGTATTTTGCACTATTGTTTCTGCGGGAAATATATACTTCGCGTGCATCTGATTTCACGATTTTACTTATGTTTCGCCGTTCGTATTGGCCATTTTTATGTTATGAAATGAATTGTAATTTCTGTCATATTGAGCCAATCGAAAAACTAACCATATCACTAAAAAGACTTTATCGACTTTAGTGTAAGTTCCAAGTTACAGATCATTTGGACAAATATTCAATTAATGAGAAGCTGTGCAATTTACAGAGAATGTATGGGGATTTTGACCGCGTCCCCCAAAACAATACATTCTCTGTTAATTTGATGAAACTAGAAATAAATACTGTTCAGCTAGTTTTTATCCAAACATTTTGAAACTTGGTATATATACTAATTTTTGGGTGCCCTTTCATCTGGTGGGGTTTGTTTCGTGAATAGATCAATATTTCTTTGATTAGTGCCCAGTCCCCTGCGCAACGTCGAAATGGCCAATAAATGAAAGACAAAGGCGCGAAAGGAAGAGAAAAGATTCTGCTCAAAAGAGCAACAGAAAAAAGAGGAAAAATGCACGAAACGAATTACGTGAGAAAAGAAAAAAAAACAATCAAGAAAGAACGAATAGTCATGAAAAGAAAAGACTAAAAAGTACGTCATCAGACATTAATGACAAGGGCTTAAGAAGAACAAGCCACGAAGGAGAAGGCAAAGTCCAAAACTATGAATTCTTGTGTCTGAAAGCACGTCACTCAGTCAGCCCGTGGCTACGTAGGTGTACTGTTTTCCAAAATTAAATACGGTCAATATATATACTATCCCTAAAGATATGTATCACACCCACGGGTCAGTGTGGATAAACACCGGGCGGTAGTAGTTTTGTTGAATTTTGTTATCGATTGCATATAACTGAATTTCGACACAGTCTTCAAAGTATAATATTCATATGTATAGTTAAGTCGAAACACGAGAAAAAACCATGTCGGATAAATGGTCGGATATATGGTTTTGTCCCGTGCTCAAGTCACGGCTTCTTATATGTTTAATGTTTAATATCACCGTCAAATAACTTGTCCAACATTTKGAACTATCTAAATAAAAAATGCACTTTTTCTCGTGTAAAAGTGACTATAGAGGCAACAATGAAGAGTTTTACTCACCGAGCACAATTGTAAACAATGAATTCTAGTATTCATATCGTTTTTAATCATTAAGAAGGGGCTAAGCACTTGAATCTACTCAACGCTTCAAACTAGCTCCGGTATTAAAGCCGTTAAAGAACAATACAAGGGAATGATTCTGGCGTGTAGTGCCGTGTTACTTCCTGATGTRCCACCGTATCAGTCTCGTATTCACTTGTTTTTAGTTTTTCCCGCTACWGCTGGAAGCGATTGGGAAGGAGAGCGGGAAATCCCTTGATGCAACGCTTGCTAAATCCTTCCCGTCCATACTGATTCGCCAATAATTACAAGAAGAACGACAAGAACACGTTTCTCATGCAGCCTCCTCCGGAGCAAAATCAACTTCCCTTTGTAGGGACCCCTGTGTCAATTCCAAAAAGAGCAATTTGGGAAGTGTTGAGGTGAAATGAAAAGCCACTTCTTCGGAAGTTCCTTCGGTGGACGCTAGTAGCGGGTGAGGTTGTGCTCTTCCACAGTGCTGTCTGTCTAGTCTGTTTACGACAAAACGAGGGCCGGCTGCGTAAAAGGCTAAGGAGCTAGAAAATTCGTCTTCGACTATCTTTTGGCATTGCATTGGTCATAATTCTCATTACTGTTGTAAATCAACTCCAATTTTTATTATTTCAATAACATGGAAAACACATCAATATTTATATTTCCGTTTCCTGGTCATTTTAATTGTTGGCCATTGACATGTTCACGACCAGTGCACCTGGCGTTGCAAAAAAC